AAAGCTTTAGGGAAAAACAAATACATTTTCTGTACATAATCTTTAAAAACACATGAGAACAAAATAGCGATGATTGATTTTAAAGTTATTTCATATGTTGCTGTTCTTCCATTTCAAATTACAATATGGACAACAGGTAAGTACACAATACTACGAATGTCTGGTCCCTAAAGCTTTGGTTTTGTGGATTTGGTAATATGGAACTTGTTTTTGTTTTTATATTATCTAAGTATTTTAGGCAATGCAGGGTGCAACTATTTCATTATACTTAGGAGAAGTACCTGCTGATATCAATTATCTCTTACTGATTCAGCCATTGCATAATAACCAATGGCTAAGAGATTACCCCCTCCCATCCTTTCCCCCCTAAAACTGCAACTTATTTGGAAAAGAAACAGAGAAATAAAAGCATACAATACACTGCATCTGCTGGTTGTGATAAGCATCCTCTTGTTGGCGGGTGAGTGAAAGACAACCAGGATTGTTATTTGTACAGAATTTATCTTTGAAATCAAGGGCCCTGTGGTGTACCTCACCTTGGGAACAAACACTACAGAATGATCACAGAAGAGTGTCAAATCTCTGTTTTTGATTTACTAACAGTTATGATATTTCTTCCTCAGGAGGAAAAAAAAATGAACCATGATTTTAGACCTGCGTGTCCTTTCTCTTCTTTAACTACAGCATCATTTTATTGGCATATAGCGCTTTAATTCCACATATAACTTCTCTTCATCCCCTATAACAGATCCTTTCACTAGGGTGAATGAAATTACATAATGCACAATTGATATGTAACCTGTATTTCACTTAGTGAAGGCTATCTTTTTATTTTTTTTTAATCTTGGGCCATGTATTAAAACATCTCTCTTTGAGAATCATACTAGTACAGTGGGTACAATTAAAAATGTCTACTGTTATGAAAGAGTCTACCATTTCCAGCAAATAATAAACTTTCAAAAATAACTATAAAATGTAAGGGTGTCCACTTCACAATAGGGACAACAAATTTGGAGGGCTACGGTATCATTATATAAAGTGTTGTCTGCTTCTCTAGCAATGTCAATTGTTGCCTGGGGTTATCCATTCTGCATACATTCTGAGTGAAGTATCACATAGAACTGATATCATTTTGTAGAGAGATAATCCCTTGGATTGTAGAATTTGTGTACTGGGAAATTTAGGCAACTCAACAGATACAAGAAATACGGGACACATTATTTAAAAGGAAAAGGGCACTTCAAAACTAGAAGTGGAAAAATAATCTAAAAATGGAGGTTTGGATGGCTTAGGAAAAGTCCAGAAGGAACGTTTTACCTGTAGTCAGTTGTTCAAATTTAGCCAAGGTTAGAAATTACCTGAAATCGTTACAATCTACTGGCTGTTAACAACTCTCTGAAAGGAGTCAGCTCTCTGAAAGCCCACCTGCTGGTAGGACAGATAACCATACCACAGAAGTATTGCCACAAATGACACTAATAGGTAAACATTCTTATTGCATCAGCAAAAAGCACAATAACTGAACGCATGGAGACTGGACTCCCCGTCACTTCTCAAGACGGTCCCATGTTAGAGGCACCCTGACAGATAGCCCTACGCTGTCCCTATGCATGCTGCATTACTTAAGCATGCAAGAATCCGGCCCATAATGGTGCCGAGTACTACCTGACTCCATAAGTAGTCGTACTAAAATTAATGGGGTTCAGTCCCAGAGAAGGGATTACTCAGAGAATGTAAAGCGGGCAAAATCTGCCCAAGTGAATAAACTGAGAATGCCACTCTCCAAAGCTGTCAAATCCAGAACTTTTCCCTTCATTAAACGTAATGAAATTTAGAATTGTTTTAAAGAACTAAATGTTATAGACTAGCATCTGAATATAAATGAGCTGGCAAGTATGAGAGATTAGCATTTATTTCACTAAGTGAACAACAGGCTGAACTGAAAGAAATGAGGCCACCCTTCATGGAAATCTATGACTAGTACCTTCTTATTTTGTAATCCTCTTATAATGAGACCCTTTTCATTACTGCACCACTCCTGACTTGCAATGTATGTTTATACGGGGCCTGTTTCCGCGCTTACTGAAGTCAAATGGGGAGTTTGCCAGTGACTTCAATGGGACCAGGATTGATTCAGTGTGTTTTGGAAGCAAATCCAGGCCTCAATATACCATATTAAAAACAACAACAACAAATACAACCCTCTCATCCTTCTTCAGAACTGTTCCGAGAAAGAACCGACATAAGAATGTTTCCTAAAGGTTTAGGGATGAATTCTGCTCAGTTGCTCCGTGGTCCATCTCAAGCAATTCCATGGATTTCTATGGACTTATTCCACTTTGACAGCAGTGTAAATATATGACAGCAGAATTTGCTTCTTTGTGCATTCAATTCACATATGTTGCTGGAGCATTCGGTTTGTTGGATTTAACCACAACAGACCCATAGCAAATCTAGGAGATGTTAGTGGACATCAAAATTCAAGAAGAGTGCAAAATTCAAGAAGGGTGCAAATCTAATTGCTCCTAGTGATCTACTCAGAGATACATGGGATGCAATATTAACACATTTACACTTCAGCTTTGAGGAAGGAAGCTGATCCTTGTAGAAGAGCTATGTGAGATTTATTTCAGCCTTCTCTTCCCTGTGTCGGGATCTTTGCATTACCATGCACTGGCCAATACTGCACTGTTTATGCAACATGTAAAACTGTATACTTCGGCAGTGACAGAAGGTCAGTAGAAAACTGCAGGAGCCCAATAAATATAATTACAGTTTATTTTTAGTAGTGTGTACTTTGCACATTAGTTACTTATTTGACAAATTAATTTCACCTTCTGCCTTGCAATTCTCTCTGATCAATTAAGGTATTAATAGAAGACCAAATTTCGAAATTCAGTGAAAAAGGTTGAATTAAGGTTGTGTTGTGTAAAATGTATTTTTTTTAAAGAATATTAAAATAGAAAAAATACATGTAGAAATTCAAACACTGTTTTATAGCACTACAGTATTCAGGAGACTACATGAGTTATAGATTTCATTTTTTATATAGGGATAATTTATCATTCCCTATTAAAATGTACATTAGAAATGATCCAAAGCCCACTGAAAAATCAACGGGAGTTTTCTGTTGTATTCAGTCAGCTTGGGATCAGGCCCTTGGTGAGGAAGGGACAGCACAAAACAATTACAGGGCATGCTCAGAGTAAAATATAAGTGCCAAAAAAAAAATCTTACTTTAGAAATGACCGGAAGTCTTCACAAACTGCTTCACAGCCTGGCCATTTGCATACACCATGTCCATAGAGTGGATGGCTATGTGAGTGCTCCTCGTGGGATAAACTGAAGGAAAGAAACAGAAAGGAGAAGAAGCACTGTCATGGAAGGCTCTGAATAATTTCACCTTGGCAAAGATACTAACAGCAAAACACGCAGGAAGAATATAACATATAGAAGATCTTACGATTACATTTCACGAATCCTATTTATCTTGCCCTTGATTTCTAAAAAAACCAAAATTAAGTATAATTTGCAAATTGAATGTGTGCGCCATCCAAGATCTCTTTTGTATGTGCCTCCTACATTTCATTCCTTAACTAAAAGCTTTGTAAAGAATTTCAATGAATACTGATAGGGAAATTCATTTGACAGACTTGTCTAATACTTGATATTTTGATGAGAAATTAACAAATATTACACATTTACAGTCCAACGGCATCAATACGAAAAGCTATTTTTGTACAACAGTATAAATATAAAATATATCCAGGTCATATAATACAATATATCCAGGATTTAAAATATTCCAAATGATTACCTAAAGGAAAAAACACTGCAGTTTGCAACTCTAATTTTAATACCATATTGTCCATCTAGCATTTTCTTCTCCTTACTATGACGCTTTTATTGCACTAGTATAAACTTTTTGCACGCCGATAAAGTTAATCACGAATGTTTTTAAAATTAATCATAAAAAAGGAAATTTAAATAATCAAAGAATTCTGCAATGCCAGAGGCTTTACAGAGGCTATTACCATGTCTATACTTTGGCAGAAATATCACAGTGCTTACTAATCACTGAAATCAAGGTTAAAGAAAAAATTCTTATGAACATGAAGGGGTTAACCCTCCAGTGGGATTCCAATCAATACATAATGATTTGACTGCACTGATCCAAGTCATGAGTCGCTTTGATCCGGGCCATGTGGTGCTCAGGGAAATGTATCTGTTGCACTAACTGATGAACCATATTCTAAAAAATCTTTTTTATTCAACTTCGGCATGGAAACTTCTTAAGTAAAGGAAATATTTTTGTAACAAATTTCCATATCCTTAGGTTAATTTACACATAAAACATCAAAATAATATTTAGGGCTCTATTTTATACTCTCTCACACATCTATTTTTCATAGCATGTATTTTTGCTATAGTGTATTTTGCTGTATTATGAACTTCAAACACACAAAGGATATGACTGCATACCAGCACCTAGGTGTGGTTTTATGACTTTTTTTTTATCCTGGATTACAGGTATTGTTACAGATAAACACCTACATTTTGTCATCCTATGTCTATGCACATGTGGAAATGTCATTTGGTCTTGTTCTGGAACATTATTTCATCATGTATTACGACAGTGATTATAGTTACATTCTTTCTTATTCACCGGATATGAGAATCTCATGGTTGCCTCAAACACTCCCTGTTGTCTCAAACAATAGGCAACGAACGCATCAGAAGGTTCCTCCAAACCTCCCAGTTTCCATTACATCACAACTTAGGCCTAATGGAAATCTATGGACAACTGAGGGACAATTAACACCTTCTGAAAGTAAAAGTAGTGGAACTAGATGGGGGAAAAAATTACAAAAATGTGCATAAGCATTACATTTCCATTTTGTAATCAAAATTTTGTTTTCAAGTTTTCCAAGCAAGCTAATTCTCCTATAAAACATAGGAGGCTCAAAGGGTTACGAAACCTGGTCTATATAGGAACTATTTTCAGGTAATCTTAAATCAATTTTTAAAACAAACACGGAGAGAGAAACTGTATCTGATGAGCTGTTAAAAGAATGAAAGCATCAATCCATTCTCTGCAAGGAACTTAGCAAATTGTTATGCCACATGTCTACCCTCACTGAAAAAACAGAGTGCCAGGGTGAAGGCACACAGTTAACAACGCCAGATATGGTGCAGTGTCAGGTACACTCTTTGAGGATGCATACAGAGAAGAATTTAAGATAATAGTAAGTAACATTAATTTTATATTTTGAAAGGATAATCAAGCTACATTTTAAAATATGAATAAAATGCTGTAAACCTCAGGAGAAAATAATCTACACAGATATCTTGCACTTATTTTTATTTTATTGAGAGGTCTGTTTAATACTGACAGGATAAACAATAAAATCCAGATAAATTGCTAGACTTGATAATTAAAAACTCACAAACAAAACATCAAGTAATCCTGTTATCACAGGCCTGGTCTACACTTAAAAGGTTTTGCTGGAACAGTCATGATGGCTAGGAATATGTAACATAGCTATGCTGATAGAAGTACAGTGTAGACAGGGTTATTATATTGACAAAAAAAGGGGTAGCTTATTTTGTTTGGAGAACTGATAGAGGTGATTGCTGATATAGCTATGCCGGCAAACCCTTTCTAGTGTAGACAAGGTCACAGTCTATTTACTCAACTGGATAATAAAACTGGATACATTTTTGGACTCAAGTCTTACTAGGACCATTTGCAGTCAATACTAAATATAGACTCAACTGTTTTTAACAATGACAGATTTTTAATGTGGTCTGTTGTGTTTTTTATCAACTAATTTTACAGTACAAGGATAAAGGGCAGGAAAATAAGCTTTGATGTTAACATCCCATTAAAATCAATCAAGACATTCATAGCTATGCCAGGGATATAGTTTAAGTATGTTTGTCAGACTTAACAAAATGTTTGCATGTCAATTTACATAGATGATGTTGCGCACACAACCAAATTTCCTAGAAAACTATAATGTGACAACTGACAAGAAAAGGTACATTTTCAAAGAGTTCTACAGTTTTCATCAGTGGAAATCCCATTACAAAGCCATTGGGACTCTTACAGTTTAAATATCTGTATGTGTGGTATTTTTAATTAATCTCCTGGATTCTACAGACAAGTCTATGGGAGAATCCCAAGATTGCTATGCATATTGTTTTAAATTGAGGTAAAAATCCTGCATGACCGGGAAGGCACTATGGTACTCTGCCCAAAAAGTTTAAAGTATCTGACTGAAGGTGTCTAAGTGAATGCAGAATTTACACTGTGTCCATGGGAATTCCTTATGTCAATCAAACGGGAACATGGAATGTCAGCACACTCACAATATACTTTAAAATGGCATTATGCCTAAAAAACACATAAGAAAGCTTCTGCTATCATTCAATAATATAAAGAAATGCTTTTTTTTTTTTTTTTTTTTTAAAGTAGCTACTATTCTTAACAAAATAAAAATGCAAGCACTTCTGGCAGTTATTTTGAATTAGCTCATTCTTTTAATTCTTTCTCTCTGCACTGTCCTTTGGTGGTACATTTTGGAGACTTTCACATATGCCCAGTTAAGACTTCTGTATTCAATCTGGTCCATCCCGCTTCTATTGCTAGTATTAAATATTGCCTGTTGTTCAAGGAAACGAGTCTTCGAGAGGATTACTTCAGAAAAAAGACAGAAAAGCAGAACAAGATTATATGTACTGCATTTGGCATAATGAGGAAAAGACAAGAAGAAAATGAAAAATGAATGAATAACTGGTTTTTCCTTGAACTGTTCCAAGTACTAGACTTGAAGAAAATATATAGTTGGAATGTGAAGACCAAAATGCATTATGCTGAAGAGACACGTGGGCCTAATACATTAAAGAAATTGTTCAAGAACATTTGTTTGTGTGCAAATAGGACTTCTACAATACTGCCACATACAGAGAGACCACGGCCACATGCAGATTGTACAAGAGAAGAATGCTGGCAGGAAGAGCAAGTAAATCATTTGTTCCAGATATTCCCCATTGATTTGTAATGACACTGAAAGAGCATATGTGTTTCTCTTTCTCTCACACACAAATTCACAAATAACCTGCCATGACTATATGTGATGTCCAAGAAGTTTTTGGAAGTAAATCATATAGCACTGCATGATTTACACAACAGCCGAGGTATGTTTTCTATGTGCAGTGTATCTTCATTGCCTCTTTTTATTTGTTTGTGAAACAAAATAATGCAGGAGTGAGAGAAAATTAGACACAAGCACAGAAAATGCAATACTTCAGCCAAGCAAACTTTGTTGTGCAATTCATTTTTTAATGACACGGATCATGGAGTGGCAAAAATACAAATGATCAATCAGAAAATCCTTAATAGGTGCCCGTTTAAAATTTAATTTTGATGCTTTCAATCTCCATGCAGACCCTCTAACTGCTCATCCAGGTGGGGTGACGAGGACCAGGCCTATTCTGGCACTCTTATCTCCAACCCCATCTTCTGTATTCACTTTCTAGAGGTTTTCATAAGCCCCATCTTCTTCAAAGTGCTGCATTTTCCTTCCTACCCATAAGAACCCTCCCTCAGGCTTCTGAAGTAAGTTCACTATGCACACCTCTACCTCCTACAATTAATATGATTAAATAAACCCATAAATACACAGAAACCATTCCATTACTGTGGCCAGTTTAGCTTTTTAGGTTTTGGAAAAGAAATTTCTGTACGCAACTGCTCCATTTCTGATATTTCAGATCCTCACTGATGATATAGAACCACATTTTGCCTCTGGAGAAACCATGGAGAGCAAGTCCCAAATGAAGAGATGAAATGACAACATCCCTGAGATACACAGTACCACGATTTTGGTGAAAACAGTGGTACTTTGTTCCTCAATATGCCGACTGAAAGGCTAGAGCTGCCATGCTATTCGGTGCAAAAAACAGAAGCCTCTGTCCAATATATTTATTTTCCCACCATATTCTAGGTCTAAGAGTGGTGAGCAATAACCGGTCCTCAGACTGGACAGGGCACATCAGAGATCCCCTAGAGGCCCACCAGCGCTTTATTTACCGGTGCCTCAACAGATAAGGCTGCTTGAAGCTTCTTTTGACTGCGATCACCATTCTTGGGCCAATGGGAGCTGCAGGAAGCAGTGTCCTGGTCTGTACTGCTTCCCATAACTCCCATTGACTGGAAACAGCAATCTGCTGCGAATGAGCTTCAAGTGGCCATACCTACAGAAACGCAGATAAATAAATGGCCGGTGGCCCGTTAGGGGCTAACCCTGGCAAACTGCTGGGCTCTTACTCATTTAAAA